TTTTTTTTTTTTTTTTGCTCATCTTTGTGGTGCCATCTGGTGGCACGAGGAACAGCACTTGAATCTCAAGGTAGGCTGGTACTGGTACCCCAGGCCCAAGTCACACTTATACCGTTGAGTTGAGCCGGCTCTACGGTGTGACAGTCTTTATTCCAAAGAAATGTCACAAATGAACTTAAAATGTAGCACTCTACGTTGAGCGTTGAGAGAGAGAGAGAGAGAGAGAGAGAGAGAGAGAGAGAGAGAGAGAGAGAGAGAGAGAGAGAGAGAGAGAGGACGTCCATGCAGCATTGTATATGGCCACAGAGAATGCCCATATACACACCTGAACATTTGGATGTCTTTTTCAAATAGGAATGTGGACATGTTTTGGCAGCCACATTCATGCACGTTTGCACGCGAGTAAAGGGGAGGTCTCGAATGTATGCACGTGTGCTGAGAGTCAGCCACATTCAGGCAACATGAAAAGGCAGAAGACTTGCATGTGTGGATGTCGTCCTTCTAGCTCATAGCAGAATCCCGTTAATAACGGAGTTCTGTTACATCAGCCCTCAGCAAAAATGATGGCAACGAGAACGGAAAATGGAAATCGTCAACGGAAAATGGAAATCGTCAATGGAAAATATGGGATCTAGCTCGTTTGCTTGGGCTACCGCGTTGAGCTGCCTACCCGCCCCCGAAAAAAGGCAGCTAGCTCAACGGAAAGATGGGAGGGTAGGGGAGTCGTTCTCTCTTAGGTAAGTAGTTTCTTACCTTCTTCCACCTCTTTGGCAGTGACGACTGTGACGAGAGTGTGTAGTTTGGGATGAATGTCGGCAATGGCAAGTGAGTTTTTGGTTTTGTGGGCCGATGTGGGTTCAGACTGTTGAGGGTAAGATGGGAGGGTAGGGGAGTCTGCAGACTGTTGAGGGTTCAGCCTCTACTGATTGACGAGTCTGTCGATGAAACTCCGACGAAACAGTTTGTCACAGCCCCTCGTTTGTTGTCCTCTCCTCTTCTCCCTCCCTCTCTGCCTACAGTTTACAGGGCAGCTCTGTTTGACGATATATGTATACATATGTATATGTGCGAGTGTGCCGCTTTGGCGGGGCATACGGGTGTGTGGGCACTTGGCGCTGAACCACACAAACGTGGCCAACCTTGCATTTTCTATTATATTTGTGAAGGGAAGAATCTGGGGTCTTTTGAAGCAACACACTCGCGCGCGCACACACACACACACACACACACACACACACACACACACGCACCCACACACCCAAACACACACCCACACCCACACCCACACCCACATACCCGCACTCCCGCACACACACATACACACACACATACACACACACAAACACACACACCCCTACACCCACACTCCTGCACATACACACACACACACACACACACACACACACACACACACTAAAGACTGTCTCTGTCTCTTAAGATTGGTGAAGGTTCCCATGCCTATGGCAAAAGCTTATTCTTCCACTATCTTGTGCACGATGCCGCTTTTTTTTCTTTCTTTCAAGTTTCAACCACCAGTACTTCGCCCGTACATCGGCCGCCGCAAAAAAAACAGCGTTGACATTTGCCCTTGAATGGAGTTAGAGAATTTTAGACCTGAGCCACGAGGTATACGGCTACGACTTCCGAAAGTACCGGCGGTTTAAGAAAAAAAAAGACGGCCATGACATGTGGTTAAATTGACAGAAGCCCTGCAAGGTAAGCGGCCGGACGTCCGGACCGGTGGGTTCCAGACAGTCCGGAACAACATGTTCGGGTGCGGTGTCCGATCCATGATGTCAGGGTGGAGGGCACCAGGGCAAAAATCGAAAAAAAAAAAAAGAAAAAAATGGGCGGCCCAGGACGTTTCTCGGCTCCTGTCCGCCCCTTAAAAAATAACGGGGTGATTTTTAAGTGTCGTTTCACCCTACCGGACAGGGCCTAGAGGTCCGGACACAAGACCCTGCAGGTTTTTGGGGTGGCGGGTTTCACACGGGCCCGAGCAATTTCAAAGCGGCTGTTTTGACTTGCCGCCCTCCGCCACTGCCCGTTGTCAAGAGAGAGAGAGAGAGAGAGAGAGAGAGAGAGAGAGAGCCCTGACAGTGCTGCCAGTCTGAAGTTTCTTTAGTCGTGCTTTTTTCATTTTTTTTTAATCGTGCTTTTTTTCAAAGTTCGAAGCAATTTCAAAGTTCGAACTTCCAGGGTTTTTTTTTTTTTTTAATCGTGCTTTTTTCATTGTTTTTTATTCCCTCTGTTTCTTTAGTTTTGAGCCTTTTTTTTTTTTTTTTTTTTTTTTTTTTTTTTTTTTTTTTTTTTTTTTTTTTTTT